TGCTTTCCATTGGGGAATTCAGCTCTGCCATTTCCTAATTGTTCTCATCAGCTCTGTGGCCGAATGCCTCTGCCCCCTGTGTAGAACGAACTGAAGTCTCCATTTTGGTGGCAGGTAGTTTAAAAAGCACCTGGAGCTAAACACACAACTTCACTGGCTCAGGAAGTTACACTTGCTGTGGAGGAAATCGCATCAACCCCTCAGAGGCAAGGAGGAGCCCAAACAAGGCAGATGTTCCTGTTATTCCCAAAGTAGCAAGTCTTTTACCTTGCTGGTTGCTCCAAATAGAGTTTGCATCCAGATGGTAATTAAAAAACCGTTTGGTTATCCTCATTTAGCGTCAGATTGATTTGGAGTTTTGAGCAGCATTTCAGGAGCAGCTTTTCACTGTCAGGTGATACCTGTGCCTACGTCTTCTCTGTCCTGCCAGAACCCACAGTGTACGTAACCAGAATGAAACCAAGTGGCTTCCATTTAACTGATCTGGTTGCTCAGGCCCTTATTTTAGCTGGCTCATGTCAGGTTCTTCCGCCCATGCACTGCTGTGCTGGCACGAGTAGCAGCACGCATGGTGCAGTCCATGCGGCTTCTGGGAAATTGCAAGTGCCTTTCTCTTTTCTTTTTAAGAAGAATTCAAAGTCCTGGGAAGTCCCGAGGGAGGAGTTCGGGTCACTGGGAAGCGCACCCTCAGGGTCAGGTGAGGAGGCAGTAGGAAAGCTGGAGCCTGTATGTGCGTGGATTTATTCCCTTTCTCTCCCAGAAGAGTTTGTTCTGCAGTGACAGACACGCAGGGGCTGAGGCGCACATCAGGAGGGGACTCGGGAGCCGAGGGGATGCCCAGAAAGCAGGAGTGCAAAACCAGTGAACGTGAGGTGCGGTTTGCAGCAGAGGAGCGCTGCTGGCAGGGACAGCAGAGCAGGTGCCAGCCCTGCAGAGGCTTTCATACAGACATGAGAAAAAGAAACCCTATCATACATACTGTAGGACATTGTGAGTGGGTTGCGTATGTAACACAGTTGTTCTAATGCCTTTTTACTGTAAGTTTGCAGAAACAGTCTAAAACATTTTGATGTGGTGTGTGTCTATGGCAGCAGCTGTATTCTGACATGAATACATTTGATGTAAATGCATTTATGCTGTAAATCAAAAGGTTTCCAGTTTCTGAGGATTGCAGAGATTAGAAGAAATTCTAGGTTTGTCTCTTGCCAACGTAAAGACCCTTCACTCCCAGCTTTGCAGAATAGGACACTTTGATTGCGTTCTAAGGCAATTATCAGAAAAGTTCTCACGATGATTTACAATTTGATGACATAAATTATTACAAAGGATTATATTTAAAATACTGTGGAGCTTCTGCCTGTGGGCAGTGTATATGAAAGTGGGAGTAAGACCCAGCAGTGTTTGCTAAGCACAGGCTGAATACCCAGTTCTCCTTCAGCTCTGAATCCTCCTCTCCTGCAAACTTTTTAACCAAATCTTGTTTCCAAAGCAGAAAGAAGTTTTTAAGCAGATAATGTGGGTAGAGTTTTGATGCCTGATTTCCCCTCTTCTGACTTTGTAAAAGGGTACCTCTGAGGGAATACCCAGAAGGAAACAGTGTGGTTTTATAGCATTTTGATTTCCTTTAGCAGCGACAAAAACTCCCTTCAAGAGTAGTCTTGTCTCAAAGGGCACATGTTCCCCAAAGTTTTCTGCTTGGGTGACTACGACTTTGTAGAAATTGAAATGAGGAGGAAAAAAGAAGTGCTCCAGCTTGTATAAGAAATGAACCTTTGCCCAATCACTTTTTGTCTGTGAATAAGGTAACGTTGTGTGTGTGTGAAATTTGAAAGCAATAAGGTATGTGGGTCCTTTCTCTGTATTGGTTCTCAAGAGTTGATCGCGGGGTTTTTTCTTTGGGAGCGGGCCTGAAGTTGTGAGATAATGCAGCTCAGAAAAAGAAATGCTCTCAAGCAGATGCCTTTAAGAGACAGAAATCATGAATTTCTTGAATTGCAACTGCTCTGGGGGTGGCTACAATGACTTTTTGACAGTGACAGTAACTCTGCCTTGTCTTTTCGAGCCCTTCTTTGGCCCATTCACTCTGGAAAGCTGCTTAAGCACCCTTAAGCGCATTAGCATTTGGATGCTCGGGGACCGTATTGACCCTCATTTGGAAAGTTTAAATGAGTGAAAGATGGAGCGATTTGTTAGGGCTTTAGAAACCAGCTTTAGAGAGTGGCGGGTTTTCCGCTTTGGTTTGTTCGAGTGCTTGTTCTAATCTGGTGCGCTGGTTAAAGGCGACCAGACTGATTTGTGACACATGAGCCCAAAGCGCTATTTTTTTGGGCTTGACCCGATTAGCTCATCTGTGCCTTGAATTTCAATGGCCCGCGTCGGAGGGAGCACTTTGGGAATGGCTCGCTGGTGGATTACCTCACCGGGTCCGCGTCGACACAGATGGCAGAGCGGTAATTACGTGTGCAACTGACAAAAGGGATCCTGCGGGATGGGGAGGATGCGAGGGATGTGCTGGAAATAAGGGGTACCAGACACGCAGATAAGTGGTACGAGACGTGTACTTCCCTGGTGGCCGTGTGCCTCTCCTCCTCCTCCCAGGCAGAGGCAGGTTGAGCTCCTGCCAGCCCCTGACCTCTCTCCTCCCAGGCCTTTCTTACAGATCCCGCAGCAGGGGTGAAGTTCTCAAAGGCAGCCCGCAGCTGTGTCCATGTCACCAGCACTCCTGTCCTCAGTGAAAACTGAGTTCACAGCCACCTTTGGCCCTGTCAGTGCTGTGAGCATGTCGAGGTGTTTAGGATAAACCAGAGTTAGATGTTTGTAATCTGTAGACATGGCACTGCTTTTGGGGGGGAGAAACAAAAAAATATCCATCAGGAAGGGGCGTTGTTTATTCAGCGAGATGGGGAATCAGCGCCCCTTCAGCTCATAGACTTGATAAAAGCCATCAGACTCAGATTTTATTTTTCAGTGAAGTTGTCCTTTAAAGATGCAGTTGTCCTTTAAAAGAAAGCTTGTTGCTTTCTGGTCATCCTGGGCAGCACACGAGGACCTTTATCAATGATCGTTTTGTAATCATAGCATCACAGGCTGCTTTGGTTTGGAAAGGACCTTAAGGCTCATGCAATTCCAACCCCCTGCCATGGGCAGGGACACCTTCCACTAGACCTTCCAAGCTGCATCCAACCTGGCCTTTATGTCTTCCTAGAAAACGGGGGCAAAAAGTCCATTGACAGATTGTTCCTGTTGTAGCACCGGTCACCTCAGCTGAGATCTCAAATACTTGCAAGCAGGTGGATTTTTGTTCAAATACATGTTTGGCATGTATTTCTTGCCTTGGAATAGATTCAGAATGGGAAGCTGAGAAGTACACCACAGCTTCATGGCATCATGTCTGATAGATGCTGCACTTCTAATAATGAATCCCAATATAAATATAGATTTATATTTGTAAGAGAAGCATGTAGTAGGATGTGTAATTCTATTACCCTATTACTGCAGAATATACTTATATGTGAATATTACGCACAGTGAAAATCTGTTGTCTGGCCATTATGAAAAGGAGTGGGACAGACAGAGCAGGGAAGTCACCTTGTAGCCTCTTCTTGACCAAGTTATTTTCTTTATTATGCTTTTATTAAGAACCTCCAATAAAATAAGCTTTTGCCCCGGGTAGTCTTTGGCAATGTAGTCGTCCAGGGCTGTGCATAGATCCTGTCAGTAGCTCGTGCCGTGGCTGTACCAGGGGATGCTGAACTGGGTTGGGGTGTGGATGCTCATCTTCACTGCTTCCTCCCTGCCTTCGAGTAACACCAAGGTTTTCTCAGTTCCCCTTCCTTGTGGTTTCCAGCACCAGGCAGATGGGCTGGGGCAGAGTTAATATCCACTAGCTTTGCCCAAGCACTTGGTTAAGCCTGCCCGCCCCTCAGTTCGGATGTAGTCTATTTCTGCATTTTAAAGCACTTAACATACTTAAAGCTTCACTAAAATTAGAGGTTCAGTGAATCCAAAGTATATTTTTAAATTAAATACGTGCCCAAATGCTTTGCTGAAAGCTCCAGATTTTCACCTGTTACAGCGCAACAGAGAAAGCCCTTCAAACAACTTGTCGTGTGTTACCTCTGGGTAGCTCTGATGAATGCTGAAGTTGGGCCTCAAACAGGTGAATGGCAAGTGAACTGAGGCCTGGCACTTCCTTGGGAGTTCAGATGTCTGTGCCTGGTCAAGTGGTGATTGGTGGTAAGTTTCAGGCACCTGGTCCTCAAAATATCCCATCCCTGCAATGTTCCTATCCCTGACAGTGTTCAAGGGCAGGTTGGACACAGGGGCTTGGAGCAAGCTGCTCTAGTGGAAGGGGTCCCTGCCCGTGGCAGGGGTTGGAGCTGGAGGAGTTTTAAGGTCCCTTCAACACAAACCAGGCTGGGATTCTGTGGTACGTAGAGACATGATGTTGCCTCTTATTTAAAAGGATGATGAATGGGGAATTTGCTTTGCAGAGTAAACTGTGAAACTTACCATCAGGTTGCATGAGCATTGCTTGGACTTCAAAATTATACTTGGAACATGAGTTGACAAGGTCAAAGTGTTTGCAGTCAGGAGCCAACCCGCAGAGCTGTCATGCCAATGTAGTTACCAGCTTTTAAGAACACTGTTCAGAAACCAGCAGGGCTGTGGAGTCATTAGTGTAGGAAGTGGCCTTTGAGGATGTTTGCACCTAATGCATGATACAGCATCAGACCTGTGAAAGAACCTGGGTGCATGGTGAGTATTTGCTTTATCTGATTGATATTTTCTTAATATTGCCTATTTCTGTCCAAATGGTAATAAACAGTTTTAAATCTGCCATGAGGGGAAGTGACTTAAATGAGCAATGCTTTGTACTTTGACCTGCACCAAACGCTGTTCTCAGGTGTGCACGGGAGATACAGAGATTGATACAGTTCAATTAAACGTGGCCTTATGTTGCCTAAAGCATTTCCCTGTGTCCCTCTGCTCTCCGTTAGACGCTGTGTGCGAAGGCCACGATGCAGACCGTGCGGGCGGCTGACACCAATGAAGTGGTCAAGCTCATATTTCGGGAATCTGATAATGACCGAAAGGTAAACAGCGGAATGCCCTCTGTCCCCTGGGTAAACAGAGACGCTGTCAGTGCTCCTTCCTGCTCCGCAAAGCAGGAATATAGTTGTTTCCAGCTGATAATTTAACGGGAGGGGAGGGATCTTGATTGTCCCACCTAATGCTCAGTTAATTGGATCTCTGTAAGTGATTGCCAGTCACTCAGGCTGACAGGGAGCTTTGGGCGTGGGGAGCTGCCACATGGTTTTCAAGGGTTGCATGTCTTCGAACAGGTCATTGCAGCATCTGTGCACTGGGGAGCTGAGTCCAGGAGCTTCACTAACCTTTCTTCTCTATGTTTTTTTCAGGTCATGCTACAATTAGAAAAGAAGCTCTTTGACTATTTTAATCAAGATGTATTTAGAGATAACAACGGCACCGCGGTAAGTTCATTGCTAAATACTTTCGAAGGAATAAGTTGGAAGCTCCCATAAAGATTGTGTTTCTCTGCCCAGCCCTTTCTTTTCATCAGCCCTCTTGTCTGCAGAAAGAGAAGAGATAGATTATTAACACAGTAACTGCTCCTCACTTAGCCAGTTATCTTGCATACAGCTTCTTAACTTTGGCATCTCTTCACCTGCTTTTGCACAGAAAAAAATGTAAATTATATGCACATGACAGCACATTTTTCTTCTCTGCCCTCTGGTCTGCATTTCTTCAAGCATCCTGTTTCATTCCTAGTTCTTCATTGTGCACCATAATAAGTTAGGACAAGCCCTTAATGCCAGGCTGTTCTGAAAATACCTGGTCTGCTGAGCGTACAAAGAATAATAAAAACATGTGAATAAATAGAATAGAAAGCTCAAAGCCTGCAGCCGACTGGCACTGGTTGAGCAATCATATAGGGCTCCCTATGAGGAGAAAGCAGACAGGAACACTGATGTTCTGAGCTGCAATGAGGACTGTGATTTTTCTGTGGAGAATGGCTTTGTATCTTCTTTAAGGTGATTTTATTTCAAAATGTACCCACTGCATTCTGGAAGGTCTCTGTATCACTGCTTGCAGCTTTCCCAATTTCATCTGAGGTTTCTAGGGGTTATGTGTCTGAAGAAACAACACTAAGCATCAAAAAAAAGCCCAAACCAAAAGTGAATAGTTACAGTTGTGCACAGATAAACATCAGGAATGTGCACACTGTGCGTGGGAGCCTTATTGCAGATGTCATGGGCCAGACCCTCTGCTTGTGAAAATCGGACCAGCTTCACTGTCATCAGCGGAGCTATGCTAGCGTGTGCTAGATCTTGAGTGTAAGCCAATGACATTGGTCTTTTGAGTATCCTGAGCTATATGAATAGCGCAGGCTGCACTAAACAAAGAAAACCTGCAGAAAACTGTGTGTCAGAGCCATCTGTTGACGTCCATCCTGCTCGTTGGATGCTGTCCCTTCTCACAGCATGTCTGGTTTGTGGGGCATGTGTGCAGGCAGCACATCTTCAAAACACAGTTACTGTGAGATAGCTTGGCTTGGGTTTGGTCTTAAATTTACAAGGTAGATGAATCCTTTGGAAATATGGGACGTTTCTTTCACTGATGTTTTGCAGCTTGGGGGATATTGAATTCAAGGTGATAGCACTAATCCCAATTCCTGTTTCCATATTAATCCCATCCCAGTCCCAGATTTCCCTCTACATGTATGGTTATCATAATTTTTTAACTTTTTTTAAACCCATCAAATATGCCATTTTTCTATTTTCCCAGTACACTTCTGAAGCAGAGCAAAGCTATTCCTGCTGCTGCCATTTCCCACATCCTGGTGGTATTTCCAATGATCTGTGGTTGCCTTTCCATACCTGGACGTGGTGTGGGAAGGCATAGGCAGAATCTCACTTAAGCACATTCCATTTCAAAATCAGCAGTCATTTCATTCATGCACCAAGAAGCAGGAAATCTTCCAGATCAAACATGGAAGGAAAAGATAAACGATATAATGAGCCATTGGAGATAATCTAATCTTCATGGTCTAGTTAAACACGCAGCACCATGATCACTAAAAACAAACTACCTATCTAAAAGGATAAATGTGTCTGTGCCGAATTCAACCCAAAAAATCCATCGCATCCTTCATCAACCGCCGGTCTTGTACCAGCCTGACAGAAATTTAATTCAAGCTGGCTCCTGAAAATAATTATTGTATTTTAAGAGTAGTAATCATTGGTCGGGACATGATTGAATGTGTCCATGCCTATTGACTTTTTCTATGATTTATAGCTTTGTTTAGTCGATATTCCCATCGAAATTGTATAATTAATTATAAGTGGAGCTGTCAGGTCTGCAGGATGGAGTGCCCTGATGAGTATTTGGGAAGATTAAATTTTCCTTAGCTGTACCAATGCAAGGCTTGGGAATTTTCACAGCACTCTGGCTGCTGGATAAAGATGTTTTCTGTGTGTTTAGCAACTGCTTTAGCTCAAAATCCATTGATTTTTCCAAGGGTATTTTTTTCTTTATCAGAGTGGTGTCTCTTCAGTAACACTGGAATGTGTACAGATGTGACAAGACCTGACAAATATTTATTATCAACAGGCTACTTTATCATTGTCCATACACAGTTGTTCCTTCTTTTTTACATTGTAATCAACAAAAAAAGAATCTTAAGATAGATTTATAAAAATGAGCATTTTTTTATGAAAAATGTGGTATAGATACAAATTATCTGTTCAACAGAAATTCGGTTTGAAATGTACCCAGTAATCTGTCAGGTCTAATTTCTCCAAACTAATCTGTGGCTTATCCAGATTTATCTGCAGCTTATTCCAAAGTTAGCTTAGCAATTACCTGTATTTATTACCTCGAGGTGCAATGGCCATTCTGTATGATTTTATTTCAGAAGGAAACACCCAGATTTATCCAGCTGAGTTGAGATAGAAAAAGGGCAAAACAATTGTAGCAGTAATGTGAAACTGTCTTAATATTTAATTGGCATGTTCTGAATTGTACATCAGAGTTACAGTGCATCAGGTGGATCAGGGTGTAACTCCTGTAACTACAACAGAACTATGGTATCTGGGTGCTACAAGGAGGGATGTTACAGAGCAGCAGTGTGAAAGGTCGGACAAGAGGAGGCACAACAAGTAGAGTTTCACCTTAGTGTCAGACAGGTTCCAGTTTAAGTTAACAGGATCCCAGCCTGGTTTGTGTTGGAAGTGACCTTAAAGCTCACCCAGCTCCAACCCCTGCCACGGGCAGGAACCCCTTCCACTGGAGCACCTTGCTCCAAGCCCCTGTGTCCAACCTGGCCTTGAACACTGCCAGGGATGGGGCAGCCACAGCTTCTCTGGGCACCCTGTGCCAGCGCCTCAGCACCCTCACAGGGAAGAGCTTCTGCCTAAGAGCTCATCTCAGTCTCCCCTCTGGCAGGTTAAAGCCATTGCCCTTGGCCTGTCCCTGCAGGCCCTTGTCCCAAGCCCCTCTCCAGCTTTTCTGCAGCCCCTTCAGGCACTGGAGCTGCTCTAAGGTCTCCCCTTCAGGAGCCTTCTCTTCTCCAGGCTGCCCCAGCCCAGCTCTCTCAGCCTGGCTCCAGAGCAGAGCTGCTCCAGCCCTCGCAGCATCTCCATGGCCTCCTCTGGCCTCGCTCCAACAGCTCCACGTCCCTCTTGTGCTGCTGCCCCAGAGCTGGATCAGGGCTGCAGGGGGGGTCTCCCCTTCATGCAGCAGAGGGGCAGGATCCCCTCCCTGAGCTGCTGCTCACGCTCTGGGGGTGCACCCAGCACACGGGGGAATTCTGGTCTCAAGCGCACACTGAAGCCGGGTCATGGGGAGCTTCTCCTCACCCAACACCCCAAGTCCTCCTCCCCAGGGCTGCTCGTCCAGTCTCCCCCAGCCTGTAGTTGTTGCTTTTGGGTTAGAAAAAGCTGGTCTCCTCTGATTTGTTGATGGGCTACAGCCAAGATGTGCTGTGCACCACGATTGTGTCCTTCTGCTCCAGAGATGTGCCCGTGAACAGTGCGCAGAGAACACAGGAGGCTTCTCTGGTCTGAACTGGTTAGTCAGTTAAATAAATATATTGAAGTGTGTAAGAACTTGTAATTACTATAGGGGAATTATTTAATGATCAGAAATAGTTTTGTAATCTTTAACCGCAATCAGAAATGAGAAGTGGTGCATGCGTTCCTATCTTTCCTATCAACCATTTTAAAGGCTCAGCCCAGATAGAAATTAACATGCTGTCCTTAAGATTTTGACCACAACTGTGTAATGAAAGCGATCTGTGAATTAATTGGCTTTGGACTTGAGCCCCATGTTATTCCTACTAAAATCACGATCTCCTTTGTCACGGAGGTTCGTGGGAACTGGTGACTGCTTACAAAGCTGAGCTGACACTGGTTGTCCCTGTGTCCTGCTCTCCTCTGCTGCCCACGGCAGGGACTGTCCCTGGGCAGCGCCAACCTCAGTGGGTAGCAGCCAGGAGAGGTTGGACCAAGGGTGCCAGCCCACAACAGCTCCTGCGTGATTGATGGCTCAGAGGACACTGCCGTTATCACCAGCGTTAATACCAACACAGACTCGACATGGTTACTCAGGAAAGCTCAGATAGTCATGGAAGTGGTTCCATTTCTTATCATAATTGTTATTACAATGGGGAAGAATAAGCCAAGAGCTTCACCCCGCTGCCAGTGGTCCTTCAGCAGAGCTCTTGCTGTAGCGAACAAACGGTAAACTTCTGCAGCAAGCACATTCTTACTCAGTTTCTGTGTTTTGCGCAGTGAACTCAGTCTTTGAGGATAGATTTCCTTTATTCTGTCTATTTAGTTTGAGCTGATATAGTATGAGGCGAAAACTATAATGTGCTGTAGAAATGGATTGTCGAGGTCTTGTTCTATGCCAAGTAATGATTTAAAGTGACCTGTTATCATGCTGATTAACTTAGGGGTGTTATTGCAAACAGTTCAGGCAAACATACTTTTAAATTATGAGTAATATATTTGTGGGTTTATTAATATTCCCAGGAAATCCTGAAATTATATGCAAGTTGAACAGAAAGGTTTAGTCCATGAGGCATCTTTATTAAGCTTTTTGTGAGAATATGTGTGCTCATGAAGGTTAAAGATCTGGCATCACTGAAAATGTATTAATCAACAGACAAGATATAGCACAATGCACTCTTCCCAATGGCCTTGGCTCTGACCCTTTTAAAGATAATGGGAATACTGTCCACTAAGAACTAGATTATGACGATCAAGTGCATTTCATCAGGGTTTGACTTGAACCATGATCCCAGAGGTGAAAAGGCAGAGGTTTATCCACTGAGACAACCAGCCCCTGTCCAGATAAAATCTTGAATATGATGTATAAGGGCAAATTAGGATAGAGGAAGGAAATTGATTGCTTACGACCATTGTTACCTAGGACTGGTCATAAGGAAATCCTGTGCATCCTGAAACTG